ACCTTCAACCTTGGTTCCGGCTCTGTTTCGTGGCGGTCTACCCGCTCGTCTTCTGTTCTCGGCTCCAGCTGTGAGGCTGAGATCTACGCAGGGGCCATGGCTGCACGGAGCTACGCTGGCTCACCTACCTGCTGACTGACCTAGGAGAGCCGCCTCGTTCTCCTCCAGTTCTGTACGTAGACAACAAGGCCATGCTGGCCTTGTGTCGGGAGCACAGACTGGAGCACAGAACGAAGCACATTGCTCTTCGCTACTTCCTTGCTCGTGAGCTGCAGCAGCGTGGTCAGCTGCGCCTTGCCTACGTGGCCTCTCAGGCCAACACTGCTGATATCTTTACCAAGGCACTTCAGCCTTGTGATCATCAGCGCTTTTGTACGATGCTAGGTCTTGTGCCTACTTGGCCTCACTTGCTCACTTCTTGACCTTGCTTGTACTGTGATCTATCTATACCTGCACTTGCTTGTTTACCTTTATATATAATCTTGCATGTGAACTGGCCTTGTGGCCTTGAACTTGTACTCGGAATGTGTGGTGACGTTGTGATCCACCCTGAGCTTGCTGTGCTTTGCTTGACTGGTCTTGTGACCTCTTGTTCTCCCCCACTTTGCCTATGGGGGTGTGTCAAACTTATATGCTATAGTCTGTGTAGGCTGTAGTGGGGTAGATAATATGGGGTACAACACTTTTAGGTTTTCCTACTTGTACCCACCTGTTTCCCACTGCATCCATTCCTCGTTATTTCACAAAAACACCGCTGGCGTCCGCCTTGCGCCGCAAGGGGAAGACAGTGGTGTAGCATGTGTAGTCATCAACAACTTGCAGGAGGTAGCGCTCCTGGTCCGTTCCACCGACAGGGGCCGGGCCCCAAACGTCCATGTGGGGGTCGGAGGAAACTCGGCGCGCTGCCGCCCCTCGACACAGGGAAGGCATGGCGGGGCAGGCGAGCGCGGGAGGGAGGTGAGGGACCTGGGAAGGCCAGAGACAATGAGACGAGAGTGCATGCTGCGGAGACGCGGCAGGGAGGGGTGACCGAGGCGGTGGTGCCAGAGGACAGTCTGGTGGGAGAGTACTCAACACGAGCAAGACGCTGCAAGCTGACCAGACGGAGACACCTCGACGCATCGACCTGACCTGACTCAGCCACCTGTGCAGACGGAGTGGTCAGTGTGTAGAGACTAGACCCAGGCCGTCGAGTGAACGTAGCAAGGTGATGGCCAGTCCGGGAGCATGTATACATCGCCATATGCTGCCCTCCAGGAATAAGGGTATCAACCCAGACATCCTGAATGGCAGCGTTGCTCACCAAGTTCGTCGAGAACGTGGGGAGGTGGAGACCTGACAAAGAACCAGAGGGGACTGCTGGACACAGGAGGACAGTGGAGGCTCGTGCGACTACTGGGCCCCCAGTGGGGTCAGCTAGTGAGACTGGTACCAATGCAGCAAGTGGTGTGAGTGTGGTGTAGTCACGAAGAAGCAACGTGACGCGCCGGAGTCAAGTGTGAAAGTGTGCAAGGCCTCAGCTGAAGAAGGATCTGTGGCGGGAGACGCACGAGCACCTAAAGCTGCAGCAGACTCACTAGCACTTGGAGCGGCAGCAGACTCACCTAGTGCGGCAGCACACTCACTAGCACCTAGAGCAGCAGCCTCTACAGAACAAGTGACACATCGGTGAGAAACCAACTCACTAAGCAGCTGCGGGGAGAAGGTCTTTTGCTGACTCTGCTGCTGCCTCTGTGCAGTACGCATAAAACCAAAGCCTCCACAACCTGGACGGGCTCGCTGAAGAACCCATTCGCGAAGCTGCTGCGAGGATAGCGTGTCCGGGTGAGGCAGTGGCTGCTGCTGTCCACCCCTAGCCGCTGCGACTACCGTGATAGTGGCCATGGCAGGCAGTGGCAGTCAGTAGCAGCGGCGCAAAGGCAGTAGTAGCGACTGCTGTAGTGACTGTGGAGGCCAGTAGAGTACGTGGACAGCAGGGTACAGGCTAGCGCAGTAACAACAGTAGTGCCAGCAGTGGCAGCACGAGCAGCAGTAGTAGTAGTTGCTCATACAGCAGCGGCGAGTTGGGCAGCAGGGCGCGCTGGCGCGCTTGGCTGCAGGGCGCGCTGACGCGCTTAGGGCTGCAAGGCGCGCTGGCGCGCTTCGCAGTGGGGCGCGTTGGCGCGCGTAGGGCTGCAGGGCGCGATGGCGCGCTTAGCAGCGGGGCGCGCTGGCGCGCTGGGCTGCGGGGCGCACTGGCGCGCTAGGCTGCGGGGCGCGTTGGCGCGCTAAGCAGTGTGGCGTGCTGGCCTGCGGGGCGCGCTGGCACGCTTAGGGCTACGGGGCGCGCTAGGGCAGAGGCTGCTCGCGGGCAGAAGGGGCGCGCAGGGCAGGGGCTGCTTGCTAGTAGGAGGGGCGCGCGTGACAGCTGGGCAGCGTGCTAGGGCAGGTAGTGCGAGTAGCTGCAGGGCAGCGCTACACTGAGCAAGCAGGGCCGGACAGCGCGAGGGCGCTTCGGGCAGGAGAGAGCGGAACTATCGGTGGGCCCTAAGAACCTAGCATGTTTCCTGCTCCGATACCATGTCAGAATAATTGTGCAGGAGTGGTTGGATTAGCAAGAGTTGGGGTACAAGTACTAACCCTAGAAGTGCTGTACCCCATAAAGAGTGCCCCACTATAGCTTCCAAGTAAGATTGTTCTTTGACATTGTGGCCGTGTGTGCTTACCGGCGAGCGTACGAGCAGCGGTGCTTGGCCGCTGAGGGACGTCTACCCTCTCCAAATTTTGCGATAATGGGGAAGCAAAGGTGTGGGCGCGGTCTGAGAAGGGAACGTAGGTTCTGAATACCAAGTGTTACGAGCACAATCGAGTGAGCGAGCGAGAATTGCACAATCGAAGCAAAAACAATACATTGAGCGAATTAATGAGCGAAGATTATATAGCGAAGCTAGCATGTTAACGGTAGCGCTAGAAATTGGGGTGCACTACGGGCCTAGCTCCGAGGTTGGGAAATGTCGAGGCAGAGGTCCGAGGCGCGGATTACCAACCGAACCGTGAGGTTGGGTCGCCGTGAACAGTGGTCGAGGCGAGTGTCGCGAGTGGTAACGGTGCACTGTTGGGTACTGTTGGCAGGAACAGTCGTGTACGCGGCAGGGGCGCGAATCAAGGAGAAGTAATTTTCCTTAAACCTCGTTAGGAGCAAATCTAGAGTAATGAATTCTAATTCATTACAATGTTTCTCTCAGCATTGAGAGTCGTAGGCTAAACGAATCACAAATTTCGATAGGTACATCCTGGGCAAATACACCACAGAGAATTGCGTGCTTCCGCGACCCAAGGATATTCCTCCTGTCCGAAGTGGCAGATAAGAGAGTGGTTATGATTTTTCAACCAGTAGCAGCAAGACATCCACCTTAGGTTTGGAGTGAGTGTACCATCTCAGCGAATCAGCAAGCCCTGTCCAGACTGATTGAGCTACACCACAAACAAAAGGCCCGCGACACGTAAGCATACCTGAGCAGTCTACGGCTTCGGTTTACAGCAAGGCATCCTATGTCCCAGTCTATGGCAACCGTGTCCCAGCTGCTACACTTTCAGATTCCATTTTGTTTATGCTCCAACGTAGCGCCTCGGTCAGGATTGACCCTGCCCTGCAATGGCGGGTGCTTCGATTGATGAGGGGATTGTAGGGTTGTCTCAGGGTTGCTTTGGATACCCGTGGGACAACCCTAAAATCCCCTCATCAATGAGAATCACCTACGTTGAGTTCCAAACCCAACACCCCTCTTTGAGTATGGTTCTATATTCTTGTACACAAGATGCTCAACCCCTGTGGGCGAATTCGCCCTCGCCAAAATAGAAAGCCTGCACCCGTGTTTTCTTTACCAGCTCGTTGCACCCACATTACAAGCCCCTCGTTGCAGTGGTTATGAACCAATACGAACCACGGAAACCGAAGTCACACAGAAGAGACCGAAGTCAAATGTCAACGGAGAGTTACAAAATCTTTATAAGCCCTTTTTTGCTAGGTGCGAAGCTGACGAATTTTTTGAAATGCTCAAAATCACTTAAAAACCCTCTTTACAAGGCAACCTTGGGTTAGTCAAACGAGCATCGTGTGAAAGGGTTAATTCTCCTAAGTCCACCCCTTCCTTCGGGCTGATTGTTCTGCCCGTTGCTGCAAAAATCTCATCGCGTCCCCTGGATTTACCGCGCTTTTCCCCCGCTATTCCCCATTGCAAAACCTCGTTCTTCTCCCCTCCTTTCCACCCTTCGAGGTGCAAGACAAGACCGACCTATTTTGAGGCAGAGAGGGACAGAGGTTTGATAAGGGCGACGTCAGGTTATACATTTCACACACGCTTACAGTTCCTGTATCGTGGTTCAGAACGGTCAAACACGGTGGAAAAACGGTTCTCCACGATTACCGCTTTTCACCGTGTTGAAACGAAATTTACTGGAGAGGGCGAGCATAAACTTGTACAACCTGACGTCGCCCTAACTTGTTCTCTCTCCTGGAAACTAATTAGAACAAGGCACACGGTATTTAGGTTCTCGTTTGTCTTAGATTCGAACCGAGGCGGATTCGCGAGCCGTGGCGGGTGTGGACGCTCATTCCCGACTTCAGGTCGGCAATCTCTCACTCTTACTGTTTGTCGCTCGTCTGAGATGGTTTCTTCCCGCTGTATTGCCTCCTGACAGAATCTAAATAATAGAAATCACTTGTTGGTCGCCGATGCGTGGATGCGTCGCTGTCTCCCACCTAAACTCCGTCAAAACGTCCGCTGAACGAGCAATTCCCCTCAAAGAATGACTTCGTGCTCTTACTGCCGGTGTCGATCTCTCTTTGCCCACACGCGACTTGCTTATCCTCTGCTACTCTCCACAACCCAGTGCTTTGCCGTTCACGTTAATTGCGGTGAGTAGTCCGCTATCCCTCACCACCCCCCGTGCCGTGATCGGCGGTGTTCCCTTCTCCCCTCTGTCCCGCCATAGGACTACGGCGTGGTCGCAGCGCAGCCATGCTGTCGTCTGTGCACCCGGTGTCCACTTCTGCGGTGTCGTCGCAGCCAGTGCGGGGTTCCACAGCGGCCGTGCAGCCGCCACCTGCGACGCCCCGTGCAAGGCCTATGCTTTTCCACCTGCACGGCCCCGTCGCTGCGTCTTCCACGCCCCTGCGGGCTGTCTCCTCCGCCCTCTCCTCGCATACCCAAGCTCCGCCCTCCCTCTCGCTGCGCTGGCGCCCAGCCCCTGCGCGCGCACGCGTCACGGCAGCAGCCGGTGCCGCGGGGACTCCGTCGGGTCCAGCGGGGCTGCCCTTCCGCAAGAAGAGTGGCGGCGGAAGGGGCGCCGGTGGCCCCGCGCCCCCGCATTCAGCGTCGCAGCCGCCGTCGGCGAGTGCGCTTGGGTACCACCCGCTGGAGCACGTGCCGGCGGAGGAGCAGGACGGCGGAGGGCGCGCAGGCGTGGGCAAGGACGGCCGGCGCGGTGGCGCAGCGCAGCTATCGCCGGCGGAGGTGGCGCGCACCGTGGCGGAGGTGAGAAGGAAAATTAGGGTGAGGGGGAGTGGGGAGGGGGAGGGGGGGGAGGAGTGAGGATGAATATGGCTGCGGGGCGGGGTTGTGTGTTGCGGTCGTCGTGCCGTCCACACTGTACCGCCGTGCGGATGCCTGGATCTGCTCGATCGCTACGTCACATCCACAATTACGCCCAATCAGCGACGCGCTCAAGCCCCTCCACGGGCTTGCCATTCCTTGCCCCACGAGCTTCCCCATGCGTAACCGTGCGCCCTCTGTTCTGCGCCTCCTCCGTTTGCTTACCCCCCTGCGCCCGCCCACCTGCGCCCTCCTCGTGCACCCCCCCTCCCCACCCTCCCCTCCCTCTCCCCCTTCTTGCGCCGTGCCCCCCGCGCGGCGGCAGGTGAACGGGGAGGCCATCGTGTTCGCCGCGCTCGCCGAGGGCTCCGCGGGCTTCCTGGCGGCGGACGCGCGCTTCGTCGTGGACCACAACGGAGGTACGCCGCGCGGCCTGGCGCCCCGCACTGCGGATGAGCGTAGCGCAGGGGGGCAGGGGTGCCGGGGAGGGGGTGCAGGGACGGGTGAAGGCGGTGGGAGAGCAAGGAGGAAAGGGGGGCGGGCGGGCATGGGGAAGGGCAGTTCGGGTAGTGGCTGCGCGTTGGGCGAGGAGGCAGTAGATGCCAGAGCGGCGGAACTCCTTGTGGGGATGGTGGTGTGAGGGCAGCGCGGTACCGTGCGTATCAGGTGTCCGGCCTGCAACCGTCCCTCATCCGCACTCACTATCCTCCCTGCGTTCCTCTCCCTCGGCCCGTCGCGGTGTGGCGCATGGCGGCGCGCAGATGTGTTCGTGGAGGTGGAGGAGGACGACGACTTCCTGCGCATCCTCCACGAGGACGCGCGCCTCTGCTCGGTCAGTGCTCCCCGCCCGCCCCCCCCCCTCCCCCGGGCCCCCCCGCCCCGCCCCGCCGTGCCCCGCCCTGCCCCGCCCTGCACCGTGCTTTCCTTCTTTGCGTGCCACGCTTCGCTGCACTGCCATGCTTCCTGCCACACCGATGCCAGTCCTCGTGCTCCCGCCTCCCTTACCGCCCGCCTCAACGCGCACACTCGTGTGCGGCCCGCTCTCTCTCTCTTGCCCCATGCGCGTGCGTGTGGCGTGTGTGGTGCATTGATTCCAGGCGCTGGTGGGGTTCGGCGGCATGGACGAGGTGGCGCTGGACGACCTCATCGAGGGCACGGCGGACGACGCGCAACATCTGCAAGACGGCGACCACGACGGTAGCGACAGTAGCGACGACGAGAGGGGCTTCAGGGGCAGCGACCTGCGCGGGCGGGCCGGCGACGCCTGGCAGTCGCTGAACCTGCTGCTGGGAGGGGCTGGCAGTGGCGGCGAGGGTGCAAGGGGGGAGCGGGACGACGAGGAGGAGGAGGATGATGATGATGATGATGATGATGATGATGATGATGATGATGATGATGATGATGATGATGATGATGATGATGATGATGATGATGATGATGATGATGATGATGATGATGATGATGATGATGATGATGATGATGATGATGATGATGATGATGATGATGATGATGATGATGATGATGATGATGATGATGATGATGAAGACGAGGAGGGCAACGACGAGGACTTGGTGTTGTCGGAGGACGATCGCCATGTGAGTGGGAAACGCTTCCTTCTCATTCCACTGTTCCCTCTCATCAACCTCCCCACTTCCCCTCCCGCCCTCGCCCCGTCTCACTCATCGTCGTCCGTGTGTCTTCCCCTTCATCACCCGCTCCCGCGTCTCTCCTCCCCCGCCCCCCTCATGCGCGGCAGTTCTGGCGGGCGATGATAGGGCCGGACGCGGACCACCTGTTTGACACGCTGTCGCCAGAGGCACTGGGGTCGCTGGGCGCGTGGGGCGGGCGGGAGACGCTGCAGTGGGTGCACCCCGTGTACTTCGCCGACAAGATGATCAGCGTACGTACCTTCCTCCGCTGCTGCCCTCGCCGTCTCCCTCCTCTCCCCCTTATTCGCGCTGTTCGCTTAAATCGTAATCTCTTGCTGATTTTTGACCCACACCACCTCCCCCCTCCCTCCCCCCCACCCTCTTCCCCACTCCTCCCGCCCTCTCGCGCTTCCGTTCTCTTCCGCTGACTCCCTTTCGTTTCAAAAATTTATCGTTCGCTCGTTCTCTCTCTCTCCCTCTTTAGGCGCTCAATTCCATGCGCCCCCATGCGCCCCCATGTGCCCCCATGCGCCCCATGCGCCCCCATGCGTCCCCCCAGGCGGTGGGCGCGGACCCCATGGCGGACATGACGCGGCCGGTGCAGCGGCTGCTGCTGGTGGCGCGGGTGCGGCCGCTGTCGTCGGAGGAGGAGTTCCGCGTGCGCGGGCTGCTGGGGGAGCGAGCCTCGTACGATGGCCGGGAGGACCAGGACCACTGGGATGGGGACGGGGACGGGGACGGGGACGGGGAGGGGGAGGGGGAGGGGGAGGGGGAGGGGGAGGGTGGTGCGGGTGGTGTGGAGGCGAGTGAGGCGAGTGTGTTGCAGGGACGTGAGAGCGAGGCCGATGGCAGCACAGGCAGCGCGGCTGCTGCTGCTGCTCGTGTGGATGAAGCTGTTCTTGCAGGAGCAGAAGAGGCGATTGCAGGGGTAGGGCAGGAGGAGAGACGGGACGAGGTGCAGGAGAAGCAGGCGGAAGGGGTTAGTGAAGGGCATGAAGCAGGCAGCAGCAGCAGCAGCAGCAGCAAGGGCAAGCGCGAGGGCAGCATGAGGGTGCGGAAGCCGGAAGCACCCACGGCCAGGGCGGAGCCGAGAGCGGCAGCAGCGGCCGGGGCCAGCGAGAGCAGCAGCGGCACAGCAGGGGTAGGGGGCAGTGGGTTGGGGGTGGGAGGGCGGGAGGAGGAGACGGTGTTGGGCGTGGTGGGGTACCGCGTGGAGGGGCTGGAGCACGTCTTCCAGGGCGACGCCTGCTTCCACTCGCGCCCGGACCTCCCAGACGCCCATGGCGATGCGGCCTTCGAGGTCTCGTGGGGGGCTGACTGGCGGCCTGGTGATGGTGATGGCGACAGTGACTTGGGCAGTAGTGGCAGGGATGCTCAGGGAGGCTGGGCTCAGGACGAGGGCCAGGGGGCGTGGGAGGAGATGACAGAGGGGCAGCAGGGGACGGGGAGCAGAGGGGAGGATGGTGAGGCGAGTGCGCAGGGAGCGAGCAGCAGCAGCAGCAGCGGCGGCGGCGGCAGCAGCAGCAGCACGGATGGGGCGAGAGCAGTGGGGAGGACAGGCGATGGGATTTTGGAGGTGCCTCCTGGGGCCATGTGGCTGAGTGCCGTGGGGCCAGAGAAGGACGCGCAGCGAGCGCAAGGAGGTGGGCAGGGGCAGCAGTCTCAGGGAAGTGACCTGCTGAGGCCTGCTGCTGGCGCTGGAGGGGTCGTGGCAGGGGAAGAGCAGGGAGAGGCAGTGCAGGGACAAGGGGTGGGACGAGTGGGATCGTTCAATGCAGCTGAGTGGGCGGAGGTGGTGAAGGCGGAGCAGGAGGAGAGTGAGGAGGGCAGTGAGGGCGAGGAGGGCAGTGAGGGCGAGGAGGGCAGTGAGGGCGAGGAGGGCAGTGAGGGCGAGGAGGGAAGTGAGGGCGAGGAGGGGTGGGAGGGCAGCATGCGCACGGTGCTGTACCGGCTGGACCTCGTGCACATACAGCTGCTCGCCTCCTCTGGCTGCCAGGTCGCTGCTCGCCCCCACCCCACCCAACTCCACTCCTATCAACAACTTTCATGCACCTCCCCTCCTGCTATTTGGAATCGCCACATCGCCCTTTCCTTTGCTCCCTGTCGTTCGCAGTATCTGTGTGTGTGCTTGTCCTGTTCCCCCACCCCTGCGTGTGTGTGTGTGTGTGTGTGTGTGTGGGTGACAGGAGGAGGTGGCGCCACAGCAGTGGCAGGAGGCGGCACCGGACCTGCTGGCGCACGTGGCGGACAGCATAGTGCAGCGCGCCAACTCGCTTAAGCGCGCGCGGCGCTGCATGCGCGACCTGTGTGCGCGCGAGCATGGGATAGACGCCGAGGTGTGTTGGGGCACTTGGGGCAGGGGAAGGACTGGTGGGTGCGTTGTGTGATGAATGTGGATGGTGGGTGGTTGCTGGATGCCGCATTTGATGTTCGCTGCTCTCTTATGTGTTTTTTCCTTGTTCTCCCTCCCCTCCCCTCCACCCCTTCCCACTGCACCCCTGTCTCCCCCGGTGCATGGCACGGCAGGAGGTGTGGCTGGCGGGCATAGACCACCTGGGCATAGACGTGAGGGTGCGCATGGGCCTCGAACTCCAGACCTTGCGATTCCCCTTCAGATATCCGGTGCGGTGCCTGCTGAGTGTGGGAAGATGGTGCCTGCTGCCCTTGCTGATGGTCACACCTGCATTGCAATCTCTTCCAAATCAAAGTGTTGCTGGTGTGCGTTCACAGGCAATGTCAACAGCGAATTGTGTTTGACCAGGTTGCCTAGTCTGTGTGTGTGTGTGCACGCAGGCGTCCACGGAGGTGGCAGCAGAGCGGCTGCTGGACGAGCTGCTGAGGCCGCGCCCCCTGCCCTCCGCCACCTCCACTCGCCTCAAGCCGCGCCTCTCTGCCCGCCAGTTGCGCCGCCTGCGTGCCCGCATGCGCCGCTGACCAGTGCCGTGCTGCTGGGCAATCAGCATTCGGGAGCGAGGAACCGAGGAGGCTTGTCATTCATGTGTTTTGCCGCCTCACCTAAACCACTGTCTTAAATTTGCTGTTCTACCAGAGTTATGTTACAGTAGCATTCTACGGTATGCAGTGGAGGTAGACCAGAAGGGAGTGCGCATTTTGTAGAGAAGAATGATTCAATGCCGTCTGGAAAGGTGTCTTTGTGTATCGTATGTGGTATGCATATAGTACCCAAACTGTACATCAAATTTTCAGATTGGAGAACCTTAGATCTGTATGGTAAGACCTGGAGCCCAGAGGACGTTCTTCATATTTGACGAAAAGCTCTGTAGTTTGATTGACAGTATGAAAATATGAAGAAATATGGGCAAAACTCCTTAGATCTGTATGGTAAGACCTGGAATGGGGTTTTTAAAACCCCTTGAAGTGAGCAAAATTCGTTATCCCTTATTGCGATTACTGGTTCGCATACAATGTTGAAGTACGACTCGTGGACGAAATTGAAGTAGCATTCTTTCAACAATAAGTATACGGTACGCAAAACGTCCGTCACCATTTCATACGGTAAGTCCGGCCCGGTGCAGAAAGATTCGGAGGTACATAGATCGATCAAGGCAAGGCAGCACGAACGAGCTAGGCGAAAACCAAGGGCGAAAACTGGCTCGGAAGTGGCGAACGTTAGGGGAGCGACTCGAGAGTGGCCGACAAGTCAGGCCCAACCAGCTCTCTCAAGGAGATCGGGGTGTGTGTACCCGACCAGCGTGAACCGCACAGAAGAGCGCGCGAAGCCGAATCTACCAGAATGAATCGAAGTAACTTTCCAGCCCAATTTTCCCGCACCTTCATCTCTCCGCAGCGCACGGAGCAGGGCTTCAGATTCGTTTTGGGGCACCCTTAGTAATCAGGGTTCTGGTTTGGTCAACCCTGATACCTAGGGTAAAATTTTTGTTTCCCTGACAAATGCAGGGTAAACAAAATTTAAATCTGTTTGGCCAAGGTATTCTTTCTAAATCCTTCCATAAATATTAACGAGGGTTTTGGGTTCAGCACTTAGTGGCTCAGTTGGTTATGCTTCGAATCAGGTTTGTAAGGTCGTGGGTTCGACGCTCGCAGTCGGCAGTGTCTTTGCAGGGGCCCGCAGAGTGTTTCGTCTCTCTACGGAGCATTCGGTATCAGTGTTACTGGGATTGTACACTGTACAGTCAGGGAAATAAATTCCTTAGGCTGTTTTTCAAAGGGTACAAAAAAACATACACTTTCTGGCCTAGGGTAAAAAATCCACTACCCTGTCTGTGAAAGGGTAACTGAAAAAAAGCGGCCGCCAGTCGGTGAAAAAAGGGTATTTTACCCTGATAACGAGAGCCCTGGCACGGAGCCTGGGTGTTGCCTTCCTGTCTGCTCGCCTCCCTCCCCGATAACCCCAAGGCCTTCCCTCTCTGCCTCTCCTCCACTCCACTTACCACCCTTACACCTGCGTGTCAAGAACGGAATGGTGATTTTTACTAAGGCTGGTTGGGATACATAAACCTAACCCTAACTGTTGTACCCCATATGACACACATCACTAAGACTATAACGTCTGACACTGCGCACTGCAAATCACTCGCGTATGCTCATTCCTCTCATCGCTCTCCAGCTTCGCTTTCTCTTGTGACTAGCTCTCAGCCTTCCGTTGCCGTTTTCATTCAACGTCAGCATGGCCCCAGTTTCCCGCTCTAGATCGCCTTCGTATGCTTCAGCGTCGAGTTTCTGGAAGAGTCTCGGCAGGGAGGACTCGACGGCATGACGCCGCGTTCAGCCACTGAGCGAGTCGTCCAGCGGCGGATCGAACGACACGTGCCGTTCTTCCGCCGTCACGGCCCGCTGCAGCACCAACAATGATACTAGCGATGACGCTGGCGCCGGCTGCAACGAGGCCTGTTCTCGCGACGACACAGCAGCGCCGCCAATGCTTCCAGTGCTTCCACCTGTGATGTCGCATCAAACGCCGACGCAAGGTCCGGCTTCAAGGGCAGATCAAGTGATGCTAAAAGTGGCCGATTGTGCAGAAACGGAAACTGTTGCAACGTCGGATTCCGCAGCATCACAACGTGCAGCAACAGAATCTGCGAAGTCGGACTCTGCAGCTTTAGACTCTCCCGCATCGCCACCTGCAGCATCGGCGGAATCTGCTGTCAGAATACTGAACGAGGATGAATGCATTGAGTAGGAAGTTGGTACAAGTACTAACCCTAATTGGGTTGTACCCTTTATGGGCTACCCCACTACAACCTACACAACATAAACAATAACAGTTTGACATTTTTCTCCCCCACTTTGCCTATGGGGGTGTGTCAAACTGTCATATTGATTATGTTGTGGAGTGTTAACGGGGTACTGCATCTGCCGGAGGTCCTGCGTGTGCCTCGCCACGACAGTCTCGCCGGCGGGAGCCTCTCTCACCGCGGCAGCTGCGCGAGTGGTTTAACTCGGCGCACACGCCTTAGGAGTGGCGTTGTTGGAGCTGGAGGCCCTGCTCTAGGAGGCACTGGAGTTACTAGTCCTGGAGGTGCTGGAGTTTCTGCTAGAGCTAGAGGTGCTGGTGGTACTGGCGCTGCTGGTCCCCGAGGTGTTCGTACTGGAGGTACTGTAGCTGCCAGAGCTGGTGGTGCTGCAGGCACTGGAGCTGGAGACCCTGGAGCTGGAGGCGCTGGAACTCGAGACACAAGAGCTTGAGTCACTGGAGCTGGAGGTGCTGGCACTGGAGGTGCTGGAGCTGGAGGCACTGGAGCTGGAGGCGCTGGAGCTGGAGGCACTGGAGCTGGAGGCACTTGAGCTGGAGGTGCTGATGCTGGAGGTGCTGGAGCTGGTGGCATTGGAGTTGGAGGCACTGGAGCTGGCGGTACTGGCGCTGGGGGTGCTGGAGTTGGGGGTGCTGGTGAAGGAGGCATTGTGTAGCGGCAACCGTTTTTGTTCCGCCGCCGCCGTCGTCTCTGCCGCCATCTGACGCGGAACTTCGCAAGGTTCTTAGTCTCCCGTCTTCTTCTGGCCTAACTCCTCCCTTACTGTGTCCACCGCCTGACCAGTCGCAGCCGCAGTTACCGCCAGACTCCCCACTGCCTACTCCTTCTCCTTACCCTGGGTAGACAGACTCTCTTACAGAGCGTCGTGAGCCTGAGTCTCGTCCTGCCTTGCCTGTTCGCGCTGTTCGCACTGGTCGCCCAGTTGCTCGTCAGCGTCCTCCTCGCGTCCCCAACACGAACACTATGGCACTTCGTTTTTCCTCTATTCCACAGCGTGTCCCTCTGCCGTCTCCCCCAACGTCCTCTCTTCCTAACGGCCTGGACCTTAAGTCTGACTTAGTTCGTGCAGCCAGTCCTACTATCACACGTCTTCTAGCCACTGTTGTCACTGACCCTTCGTTTGAGTCCGCTGCTGCGTCTGCCCTAGTTGCTGAGCTTGTTGACTTTGCTACCGCCTGTCGTCTCGACTTCGCCGCTAGTCTTGTTGCTGAGTCTGAGTCTAACTATCCTCCGTCCGTGGGGGGTGAGTGTGCTTTTAGCACGGACATCCTTGAGGACACGCAAGAGGACTTTGAGTGTCTCGCAGCTGCTGTACCTCATCTCGTGGCCATGCTGATTGCACCTGAGGGAGACCCGGATGCACCAGACATCCCGACCCCTCGCTCTTACGCAGAGGCGTTTACGGGTCCCTACTCTCATAGTGGCAGACAGCCATGGACGCAGAGATTGCATCCTGGAAGTCCACAAGCACTTACGTTGACGCAATTCCCCCTCCTCGGGCGAACATGGTCGATGGCATGTGTATTTTCAGGGTGAAGCAGCCAGCGGGTTCTCCACCTGTCTTCAAGGCGCGTTACATTGCACGAGGCTTTAGTTAGCGACAGGGAGTTGACTTCTTCCAGACCTTCTCCCCTACCCCAAAGATGACCACTCTTTGGGTGCTGCTGCACGTCGCCGCTTAGCGTGACTACGAGCTTCACTCTCTTGACTTCAGCATAGCTTTCTTACAGGGCAGCCTGCACGAGGAGATCTGGCTGCGCCGCCCACCTGGCTTCACTGTGTCGTTTCCTCCAGGTACCCAGTGGAGCCTCCGGCGGCCAGTCTATGGTCTCCGCCAGGCGCCTCGCGAGTGGCACGACACACTGAGGACGACGCTTGCGGCTCTTGGGTTTGCTCCTTCGACTGCTGACCCATCGCTGTTTCTGTGCACTGACACTTCGCTCCCGCCGTTCTACATCATCTTGTACGTCGACGACTTGGTTTTTGCCACTGCTGACCCTGAGGCACTGGCCCTTGTCAAGTCGGAGTTGCAGAAGAGACACACGTTCACAGACATGGGTGAGCTGCGCAGCTATCTTGGCTTGCAGATTACCCGGGCCAGAGCACGGCGCACCATCACCGTGACTCAGTCACACATGGTGCAGCAGGTCCTTCAGCGCTTCGGCTTCCGGTACTCCTCGCCACAGTCTACTCCTCTGCCTACCGGTCACTCGCTCTCAGCTCCACCTTCGAACGAGTCTGTAGAGCCGAGTGGCCCGTATTCAGAGCTTGTGGGCTGCCTCATCTACCTGATGACCTGCACTCGACCTGACCTTGCCTACACTCTTAGCATCCTGGCACGCTACGTTGCGCCCGGAAGAAACCGACCAGAGCACATGGAGGCCACTAAGAGGGTGTTGCGCTACTTGTGCAGTACGTCGGGCATGGGGCTCGTGATTGGAGGACGGGGTCCAGTTGTCCTCACGGGACACGCAGACGCATCTTGCGTTGACGACTTGGCTACGCAGCGGTCGTCACAGGGTTACACTTTTAGCCTTGGCTCCGGCTCTGTTTCTTAGCGGTCTATCCGCTCGTCTTCGGTTCTCAGTTCCAGTTGTGAGGCTGAGATCTACGCATGGGCCATGGCTGCACAGGAGTTACGCTGGCTCACCTACCTGCTGACCGACTTGGGAGAGCGGCCTCGTTCTCCTCCAGTTCTGT